CCCACCTCCCATTTCTAGATATACACTTAAGGTTCTGACCTTGGGTCACCATTCTCCCAATATACTCACTTATTTGTAAACTTCACCCACTCTTAGCATTTCAGTCATGTTCCTAAAATGTTTCTACGGTCACAATTCTCTGTCATACACCCCTCTTTGACCATGACCTTCTTGAGGGCAGGCAGGTACTTCAATTTATACTTCTGAATCTTTCTTATACCATTTACAGAAGATAAGCTACAGGGTACAAAAACATTATGATTCTGAATATCGAATCCATGATTTAGTTATTTGGGTAATTTCCCTCCACAACTCAGAAAGCCATTCATCTACTCTAAAATGACTTAGTACAGAGTTGCCTGAGGCATATACAGGGGCTGAGTGACTTGCCCAGAGTGATCCTTCCTCTATATCGCATTCCCTCTATTAGTTATTTGCACACTTGCCTTAATCCCCTAGAACACAGGTAATTTTTGTATACTCTATAGACTCACCCCAGCCTCCACAGTCTAGCACCAAGTCCACACAGTAAGATAAATATGTCAGCTCAAACTATGTCCCCAGGTGAATCTGGCAAGAAGTCATCTATAATGGTAGAAAATATAATTTTGGTAGCATTGTGTGGAGAGGTGCTATTTTGCAGGGATTAAGAAAGGAACAGGTAGCCAGTAAATAAATAATTTGGATATACAGCCTAAATTAATGAAATTTGTTAGTGAAAAACTGGAATGAGATTGCACATCCAAAAGAAATAACAGAGAAATTACCACAACCTTGCTACTGTTATCTCCATTTTACTGATGAAGAAACTGTGGCTCAGAGGCTAAGTGACTCACCCATGGTCACTAAACCTGAGGCAAGATTCTAACCCTAGATCTCCAGAATCCCAAGTACAGTGCAGCACTGCATCTACTAGGCCAAAATGACTCTCAATAATTGAGCAAAATAAGCAAATAGTAATTGACTAATTCAAGCAGAGTACCATAATACAACCAAGACCTGGGTTCAAATTTGACATCAGTGAGGCAGAGCCAAGATGGTAGAGTGATAAGAAATATTTCACCTTCACTCCAAAAAACTCCTCCAAACAGATCTAGAAAATGCACCAGACTAAATGCACCAAATCCTGTTGGGGAAATCCAGTCACAGTGAGTTATCTGTCCAGCCCATTTCAGCTGAGGGAGACAGACAAGAAAGTCTATGGACACTGGGGAGAAGTCTGGCCTGAATCACAAGGTGTACAAAGAACTGCAGTCCCCAGGGAGAGGCTGTGTACTAGGGCAGAAAGAGATCCCAGACTCTTACAGGGCACTCCCAGACTCACACCAGGGCACTGCAACAAAGACAGGTGCCAACTGACAACCTGTCATTCATATCCAGTTTCAGGCCACAGACACAATAACGAATGTAAAGAGGACTTACAGGAGAGGTGCATACCCACATAAAGAGGCCCTGGGTTGTATATGGAAAAAGAAGAAAGCTCAGAAGCAATTGGCAATGGTATGGCTTAGAACCCAATCTCAGAGCACAGTCTCACTTTCCATTTTTAGCCCAGTCTACAGAGGAATAACGAGGGCAGGAATACTAGAACAGAGGGAAGCCTTCACTCCTGTCACTTTGAACCAACATAGTTTTCTCTTGGCTGACAGGGGATGAGTCCAGCAGTAGTCTACTCATGCTCAGATACAGACCTAGGTGAGGAACTTGCAGAGTTCAGAGGAGTGGGAAAAACCTCCAGACCTTGCCCTGGATCAGACCACTCTAGGAGCACTGAAAGCTTGTAGGTCTCCTTGCTTGTAACTGAGATACTGGGTGAAAACAAAACTCAATATCCCTAGAAAACAGCAACAGGAACAACCCAGAACTTCCCTCTAGAAATGTGGCAGAGCCCAGCTCTATTGTCAAATCCAAAGTCATTAATTAGATAGAAGAATGGGCAAACATAATGAGTTATTATGGTAGCACAGAAGTTCAAAATCCAAAAACAGATCAGGAGAATAACTCCAAAACATCTACGAGCAAAGCCTCAAAGAAAAACAGTTTGGCTTCAAACTAAACTAGAATTCCTGGAAAAGATGAAAAAAGAGTTTAAAAAAAATTTTTATAAATGGAATGAAAGTGCATGAGGAAAAAACTGGAAAAGAAATGAAAGCTACAGAATAAAGAATTGTAAAAGAAACTAACATTTTGGCACTAGAGATATGAAACCATGCCCACACAATAGTAGAAATCGAAGCCAGTGACTTCATAAGGCAACAAGAAATATTAAGATGAAGTCAAAAGACTGAAAAAAATAGCAAAAACAACTGACTTGGAAAAAGAATGAGGAGAAAAAATTTAAAAATCATTGGTGTATCTGAACACCACGACCAAAAAAAAAAGAGCACATATATAGATACACACACATGTGTATCTATATATAAAATGTTTCAAGAAATCTTTACAAAAAAATTGCCCAGATCTCTTAGAACCAGAGAGCAAAGTAGAAACAGAAAGAATCCATCATGAAAGAAACCCCAAAATGAAAACTCAACATCATAGCCAAAATCTAGAACTTCCAGAACAAAAAAAAAATACAAGTAGCCAGAAAGAAAGAATTCAAGTACCACAGAGCCACAGGATCACACACAATTTAGCTGCCACCACCATAAAGGAATGGAGAACATGGAATACAACATTCCAGAAGGCAAAGGCTATATGGGTTCATAGTTAAGAATAACTTATCCAGCAAAATTGAATGTAACGCTATGGGAGAGGGAAAAAATGGATCTTTAAAAAAATACAGAATTTTCAAACACTCCTGATTAAAAAGAGAAAGGAAGGTTAGGGAAAATTGTCTCACTTAATCAGAATGAATGAGTAGAGGGGTTGGGAGGGGAAGGGGACAACAGAGAGAAATTTGACCTCCCTCTCATCCAAAATGGTCAAAAGAAGATTCTCCCGGAGAATACACAGATGAAGACATAAATACATTTCATTCAACAGGGAAACAGGAGAGAAAAGGAATAAGGGAAAGGGAGTCTTAGAGGAAGGGTAAATCAAGGGAGGGATTAGTTCTCAGCAAAACAAACTTTAAAGATGTACAAAAACATTTATAGCTTTTTTTGAGGTGGGCAAGGAATGGAAACTTGAGAGGGTGCCCATAAATTGAGTAACAGATGAACAAAATGTAGTATATACTATATATAATATATAGTATATAGCATACTATTGTGCTGAAATCTTATCAACATAATGACCAACCAGGATTCCGAAAAATTAATAATGAAACATGCTATCCACATCCTGATACAGAGGTAAAGTACTCAGAATGCAGAATGAAACAAATTTTTTTTGACGTGGCCAGTGTGGAAATTTTCTTTGATTGACTATATATGTTTGTAATTGGTTTTGTTTTCCTTGTGTTTGGATAGGGGGTGGGATAGGTGAGAAGACAGATCTTGGATGATTAAAACAAAGTATTTTTTTGAAAGCCAAAAGAAAAACTAACAAACAATTCTGCCTCATGCGCTTGCTTAGCTGTATGATCACTCCCAGGCAAGTCACTTAACATCTCTGAACCTATTCTCTCCTCTTTAAAATGCAAATAATAACAGCATCTATTTCACAGGTCTCTCATAAGGATAAAATTAAATAACATGTAAGGCACTATATAAATGTGACCTATATCATCATCATCATCATCATCATTATTATTTGTACAGAACTATTAAATTTCTGATCACAGGAAAGGTTAGAAGAGATACAATACTGGCCCTCAAGTAATTCATAGTTCACTGGCAATGGAAAAAGCACCTGATTTCAAGTCAAAGGACCTAAGTTCAAATCCCACCTCTAATATTTCCTATCTGTGTCACCTCTCTGGGTCTGAATTTTCTCATCTGTAAATGAGGGGGTTGGACTGGATGTTCTCTAAGGTCCCTTCCAGCTTTAAATTTATAATCCTAGTAGAAGGATGAGATACCACCTTACTAATATGACAAATACAGGTAATTTCTTTCTACCTCAGATACAGATTACTATTTTTACTTCTGGATTTAAATACAAGCACTTTAAAATTCATCAAATTTTGAACAGAATAAAATAGCACCCATTCCACAACCTGACAGCATATCATCCTGGTTCCCTTCAATCTCTCTGCCAATTATTTCATTTTAACATAGCTCTAGTTCTATTAAGGTTATTTGTGTTTTCCTCTCAGGAAGGTAGAGTTCTCTAAGTGGTGCTCCCAAGCCTCCAGTGGTGTCCTGGCCACCATAACAATAGGTAATATTTATATTCCTCTTTTAAGATTTGCAAAGACGTTTTACCTACAATACCTCATTTGAGCCTCAAAATATCCGTGAGGTAGATGCTACTTTTATTCCCCGTTTTACAGGTGAAGAAACTAAAATCTTGTCCAAGATCACAGTAAAGAGGCACTGTATTAGTAGGGAAAAAGTGAAATGACCTGGGTTCAAATGCCAGTTCTTCACTACCACTGCTTACCCGTGGGCAAATCACTTAAGTTCTTTTACCCGGTTTTCCCATCTGTATAACGACGGGGTTGGCACTAAGATAATCTCGAGGGTCCTTCCGACTGCTGGAGTAATCTGAAGGCAGCACTGAAAACCCAAGTCTTACAGACTGATTCCAGGTCCACAGGGCCCCTCAGCAAGAGCCCTGTCACGCCCTTTCAGAGAAGACAGCTCACTAGAGGGCCTCACACAGACCGGGAGAGACCAAGTGGACTCAAATCCCTCCAAACACGGACTCCTAGAATGTCTGAGCTGAAGGAGGTCTTAGAGGTCATCCAGTCTAACCCTGTCACTTCACTGAGAAAGAAGCTGCGGGCCAGAGGGGGGAAGGGACCAGCCCCAACGACCCAGGGAGCTCCAGACTCTCCCCCAACGCCCCCCCCCCCGAGGGGCGGCTTCCCGGACCCCGGTGACAAAGGAACGCAGCCCTCGGGTGGGGTCGCGCCGAGCCGCCCCGCCCAGGCGTGGCCCTCTGCGGGTTACCTGCAGCACCATGGCTTGGGCCGCCCCCGGGGGGAAGCCCATGCGATCCGCCGAGTGGCGCAGCAAGCGGTAGAAGTCTGTCTTGCGGTAAAGGAAACCGAACAACACCCGCAGAAAGTCCTGGACGTTGCCCACGTGCTGCAGGATGCCCAGCAGCGCCTGGTCGTACAGCTCCGCCGCCCCGGGCTCCATAGCGACCGGCCCGGTCGGCCCCGCAGTGGGAGGGACACTGACACTGGGGGACAGGGGGCGCGGCGGCCTCCTTCGACCTCGGTCTCAGCGTCAGCCGCCGCCTCCGCCTCTGACCAGCGGCTTCCGGTGTGTGTGTGAGTGTGAGTGAGAGTGTGTGCGTGTGTGCGTGTGTGCGTGTGTGGTTGTGTGTGTGTGTGTGTGTGTGTGTGCGCGCGCGCGCGTGGGCGCACCCGTCAACGGCTCCGCCACCCAGCCACCCAGACTGAGGCACTTCCGGCCTGCCCTGCTTGCCTCCGGAGACAACTTCCCTCGCTCACCGCCGAGGCCTCTGCCGCCGTCGGGATTTCCGGCGTGGGTGCGCTTGCTAAAAAGGCTCGATGCAGGGGTGGGGGGGACCAAAAGAGGGCCCAGACAAGAAAGTCGGGGGCTGGCGAACACGTGACACCCAACGACCCTGTTGGAAGAGGGCAGAGGAAGTTTTCTACGCCTCCCAACCTTCACGTGACGTACGCACGTCAAACTCACAAAACACCGAGGCTTGCCACTACGCGCGCGCGTGTGGCTCCCGAGCGTCACGTGACCCCGAGTGTCGGGCGCTTTTTTCTGAGAAGTTCTTTGCCCTGGGCTGAACCGTAAGATGAGTCAGGCTATCTTGGCACTTTAAGAGCTGGGATAAACCCGGTTGTGCGATCAGACGCCCCGAGGACTTTAGCTGGTGTGGAAGTTAAACTTCGGTTTCAAAACTCCTGTTTTGCGCTCTCCGAAAGGAGGCTCAGAGAGATTAGGTGATTTACCCGAGGTCTCACAGCACGACTGGATGCTGAGCCCAGGTCTTGTCAAGCGCAGTGCTTACTCTGCCAGGCCCCAAGGGGTGACCCATATCCCCAGCGAAACTGCTGAATTATGCTGCACTCTGAGTAGGGTGCAGAGCATTGCCTGTTCTATCCGACTGGGTCCATATGCTGATCTAGTTTTGCTAATCCGATTTTTTTCTTCTCTTTATAATTCTAAAAATGAGATAACTCGTAAATCCGTCTAGAAGCCCTGCAAACTTTAAAGCGCGATTTATATGATGACTTTTTTTTTCTCTGTTGGAGAGAATATAAGATTTTGAAGGTAATGTAAAGATTGAAGTTATTTTTAAAGTCTTAAAGATGTTTAAGAAACCGAAAAACTTGCTTTAAGAAAAAATTGGAAGTTTTAAAAACTATTTTAAGCAGATGAAAGGGGTATATTTTATAGGGTCCCTTCTCTGCCCTAGTCCGGCCCACTCTGGAGTCTGGAGTATATTTGGGTGACAATAAGCTAGGTGGATAGAGTTATGGGCCTGGAGTCAGGAAAACGAGTTCAAATCTAGCCTCAGGCACTTACTAGCTGTGTGACCCTGGGCAAATTATTTAACTTTTTTGCCTCTCAGTTTCCTCATCAGTAAAGAGAGCTGGAGAAGAAAATGGCAAACCACTGCAGTATCTTTGCCAAGAAAACTCAACCGGGATCATGGTCAGTTGGAAATGACTAAGACAAAACAACTATGAAAATAAGCTGAAGGGTAACCAAAAAAGTAAAGAGATCTTAAAATGATAAGATTAAAATCTGAAAGGGACCTTAGACGGTTGTGTAATCCAGCCCCTCATTTTACATTTATAGGAAACTGAGTTCCAGAGAGTTTAAATGGGAGATACAAGATTAACAACTGACAGGATTCAAACCCAGGTCTTCTAATTCTAAACCCGGGATATTTTTGTGCCAATAAATTATGTAATAGGAAGATGAATCAATGAAACTGGAGCAGTGGTGTCAAACTCAAACAGAAACTGGGGCCACTATTGGCTTATTGAAAACTACATATTAGCTGGAAGCGTTTGGTGAATGGGATGGGGGGGGAGTATTGTGACATGGCACCAAGATGTCTGAAAAAAAAAACATTAAATATCCACTAAATTTTGATCTATCAAAAATCCATGAACTCAAACTGATCAAAGATAAGCAAAATGTGGTGAGACATGGCCCCATTCAACATGAGATGTAAGGTATGTAGTGAGTAAATTTAGGAAGGCAAGGAATGGCAGGAAGGAGATGGTGCAGAATGAGCCATATCTGGAATTTTTCATGTCTATATCAAATGTACCTGTTGTTTAGCTGAAATCACCTTCAAAACAGACCCAGAGAATACAGATTATATCATGGAGCCACTCAAAATTTCCAGGCTGAGAAACTCCTGGAAGTTGAACAGAAAAGGGTACAGAAGGAAAGAAAAGATGAAGAACTAAATAATCCCATGAAGGGGCTGGAGAATTGGATCAAGGACTCTGAGCTGGACATGGAGGTACTAGAAAATCTGCAGGAGCTGCCAGTGCTTACCCAGTGCTAGGCTAATGTGGACTTTGAAGTGATGTTACAGCTGTACAAGTGTCTAAGGAGGAGACACTCCAGTAAGATCAGGAGAAAGCCAGGAGATGGCGACTGATCGAAGACACTGACTCTAATGCAGAGCCCACCCTTGCACCTACCCAGCTGCCATTCGAGCCAAGCCCACAGCCATCTTAGAGGAGGTCTCACAGCTACAAAAGCAGAAATTGGAGAGCTGGGAACAGAGTATAGGTGCACTTGGCTGCAAGTCAAAGCTGGCAGGCCTGGTTGTGGCAGAGGCCAGCTGTCCCAAGATCCAGCAGCAGCAGTGAGGACATGACCTAGCACAAACATACAGCAGAATTTGAAGGAGGAGGTTGATGTTACCCAGAATACCCAGTGTCTCATCTCTGAGCCACTTGGGGGCATACTCAGACAAGTGAAGATAGCAGCAACAGCAGCTGAAGCAAAGGAAACCTTAGACCCTCGAGCCAGACTGGAGTGGGCTTATTTTTTTGTTCAGTGAGCACAGCAATGTGAAGAGGAGGGTTAGACTGGAAGCAGTGCTGCCAGGGCTTCTATGTAATGAGTTTGGTGTGCTTTCCCCGCTTCTGAGCTGCCCAGGAACTGACTGCTCCATTTTGCTCCTCTCCTCTCCAGGCCCCTAGGCCCCAGTGGGATTCAATGTTGTGGTACTCTTCCTCTGAATCTTTCCACTTTAGAAAGTGGCAACCAAAGATCTGATATCCATTCTTAGCCTAGTGGCAGGGTTGGACCTAGTGGATATTGGGCCTCAACCCTGCTTCTTTTGGACCCCTGCTCCTCATGCTCATCAAGCCCAGGCAGCCAGAGCAGAATCACTGGGGAGGTAAGGAGTTAACTCTTTCTTTCCCTGGAACTTCAGAGCTTTCCAGAATTCATTTATGTCTGTCACTGGTGTATCATTCATCCCATGCCATACAAAATGACATTTTGCATCAGTGCCCCATGCTAACAACATGTGTGGGAGGTTTGCCTTACTCCTAACCCCATACCAAATAGCTAGGTGGCTTAGTGGATAGAACACTGGACATGGCGTAGTCAAGAAGGCCTGAGTTGAAATCTGATCTCAGTCACTTAACTAGTTGTGTGACCCTAAGCAAGTCACTTAACCCTGTTTGCCTCAGTTTCCTCATCTATAAAATGAGCTAGAGAAGGAAATAGCAAACCATCTAATATCTTTGCCAAGAAAACCCCAAATGGAGTCACAAAGAGTTGGACAGGATTGAAGATGACTAAATACATGCCAGACACTGTGCTACACACTGGAGATACAAATATGGAAAAAATAAAGACAGTCTCTGCCCTGAAGGAGCTTGCAATCCATTAAGGGAAGACAAAATTCTAAAGGAAACTGAAAAAGGGAGAGGAGGAGAAGAGATAACCAAAATGGAGGCTTGGTACAAAAAGTCAGATAGGTCCCAAGGTAGAGCAGCCAGGTAAGAAGTGAGTTTTCTAAATTGAAGTCCCCTTAAATGGAGATTGGGAGTTCGTGGCCCCATCCTTCAATCAAAGAGTCATATAGAAGGTTTAGATTGTTAACCTAGAGTCTATGGACTTTGTTTTTTAATGTTCGCTTTGTTTCAATATAATTGGTTCCCTTTGTAATTCATTTTATTTTATAAATTTAAAAACATTCCAAAAAGAGTTTCTGAGAATAGGTTTTATCAGAATACCAGTGGGGTCAGTATCACAAAAATAGCTTTTAAGATCTCCTGCCCTAGAAAAGAGAATTAGAAATAAGGTATAGAATTGCAAAAAACATATTTCTCCTCAGTGTAAAGAGAAACTTTCCAATACTCCCCATCACCAGTGAAGAGAATTCAAGGGAGAGCTAGGTGACAACTTGGTAGGAATCATAGATTTAAAACTCTTTCCATTTTAGGAGGGGGCTCAGCTCAGAACATTTCTTTTTTTCTCACCTGGCTGCATTAATCCAGGACATATCTGACTTCCCCAAGTCCCTGAAAAGGATATCTTCTCCCCTCTTACCAACCCCCTACCTCGGCTTTTCAGCTTCCTTTTGTGTGTTGTCTTCCCCTTCTAGATGGTCAGGGAGTCTTTTAGAGCAGGGATTGCCTTTTTTTGTATTGAAATCCCCAGCACTTAGCATAGTGCCTAGCACAAAGCAGGTGTTTAATGAATGTCTGTTGACTATGGCTAGAACTAGAAGGGGCCTCTGAGATCTTCTAGTCCAACCATCTCATATTACAGATGATGAAACTAGGACCTGAGGTTAAGAGATTTGCCCGGGATCACACAGGTAGTTAAGTGGCAGAGCTAGGATTTAAACTTAGGTCTTCTGATTCCAAATCTAGTGCCTTTTTCCACTGTACTTCACTGTTTTATTTTTTTAATTAATTTATTTTTAGTTTTCAACATTCACTTCCACAAGATTTTGAGTTCCAAATTTTCTCCCCATCTTTTTCCCCTCCCCCCACCCCAAGACAGCATGCATTCTGAATACCCCTTCCCTCAATCTGCCCTTCCTTCTATCACCCCACCTTATCCCCTTCCCCTTCTGTTTTCCTGTAGAGTAGGATAGATTTCTATACCCCATTGCCTATATATCTTATTTCCCAGTTGCATGTAAAAACAATTTTTAACATTTGTTTTTAAAACTTCGGGTTCCAAATTCTCTCCCTTCCGTCCTCCCCACCCACCCTCATTGAGAAGGCAAGCAACTTGATGCCTGTACATGTGTAGTCATGCAAAACACTTCCATAGTAGTCATGCTGTGGAAAACTAACTATATTTCCCTTCATCCTATCCCACCCCTCGTTTATTCTATTCTCTCCTTTGACCCTGTCCCTCATCAAAAGTGTTTGCTTCTGATTATGCCCTCCCACAATCTGCTCTCCTTCTATCATCCCCTCCTTATCCCCTTCCCCCCTATTTTCCTGAAGGGTAAGATAGATTTCCA